TAAAGTGGGTTGTTCCATATACTTATGGACATTTGAGAGTTGAAAGTATCAAATATCATCCCAACACAGAAACTCATCTGAAAGCAGCCGGTTTCTCTGATGACATAAGGGTGGTGGGGTAGCGTGCTGGTTAAAGCGTTCGCTTGTCACGCTGAAGTCCCGGGTTCGATTCCCAACATGAGTAAAATATGTGAAACCCATTTCTGGTGTCCCTGCTGTGGTATTGCAGGAATATTTCTAAAATCAGTGTAAAACTAAACTCACTCCCCCACACAGATGACATAATGTATTCAATGTGCAGCAAGAACAGTGGATGATGTCATATTCTATTTTTCTCAAGAACAAAGAACTGTGATGTCATGTGGTTTCAACTGACCAATCAGCATTGAGAATTGTTAAAATGTGCATCCGAACTTGAAAGGTATTGCAGTTGTTCTTCCCATGTTTGTAATGAAGAAGTATCTGTATCAAAATCGAGCAGTGGATTAGCATGAATGGGTTTGACTAAATAGATTTTGTATTCATATGTTGCGATGGACTAGCTCACCATGTATATATACAGTTGTATGCCATTTCTTTCTACCGCAGATCTTTCATAAGGTAACAACAACACAATAAACAAGGATCCAGTTACTTCTGAGTTTGCTGCTTTGTTTTGTCATGCTCTTCTTCTGCCTTAAGAAGCAGTGAGGTGGCACAGTGGATATGGCAATCCTTGCCAGGCCTGACATTGTGTGAAACCGAATAGCTAGAGTGATAAGAACCTCAGGTGTTCATAAAAATGACATCTTTTATAGTGATACAGTTCCTGATTTGATAAATGACAGGTTACTGTGGTGATCATGGAATATTGCTGGATTTGGATTTGCAATGAATATATGTTAGCATCATATGGTTACTCCTTAGTTATATGGTATAAATCTAAAAAATGAACCTGTGTCACTGGAATTTCTTCCACCAGTAATGAAACAGTCCCTAAAGTGTCTGGCTCATTCCTTGGATTAATTGGTGTATATATCTCTTCAAGAATTTGGGTGGTGTGATAGCCCAGTGGTTAAAGCATTTGCTCATCATGCCGAGGACCCGGGTTCAATCCCCTCATGGGTACAATGTGTGAAGCCCATTTTTGGTGTTCAACCAGTGACAGCTGATAAACTCAGATAGTGCTTAAAGTGGTTAGTGCTTTGTTTCTCCAGTGAAAATATCAACAGAATGAACATGCACCACTGTGGAATTTGCTCCACCAGTAAAGTGACAGCTGGTGAACTGAAATAATGCTTGGTTTCTCTAGTGTAAATCTCTGCAGAATAAACATGCATCACTGTGGCATTTGTTCCACCACTGGAGTGACAGCTGATCACCTGAAATAGTGCTGAAAGTGGTTTAATCAGTGCTTGGTTTCTCTAAGATATTTATCTAAAACAATGAGCATGTGTCCCTTTGGGATTCCCCCACCAGGAATGTGACATAGTCCCTTAGATCGTAAGTGTAAATCATGCTGAATGCTGCTCCTTCGGTGCTTGGTTTCACCTGTGTAGATGTGTCACAAGTCATATATAGATCATCGTCAGAAATATAATGTAAGTCATCCCAAAAAGGGAACAATGCATTAAGACTCTGTATGCGCGTGTTCGACTTATTATATCTGCGAATCGAAGTACAATCAGATAGAGCATTAAGGTGTCTCACAGTCCCTGAACCACATTTCCCCCCTACTGCCTAGCCCTCCCTACAACGCTAAAGCCCTAAATGAAGCAAGTCTAGATTTCCTCCTGAATCTCTCAACTCACTGGGGCTCCTTTTCAATTTAAATGGGTTTATTTGTTACTATCAAAATTATATATATTCAGGGTCTAAGCGTTAGTCTATTAGAGCGTCTGCCGGGTGAGCGGAAGGTCGGTGGTTCCATTCCGTAATTGCATTATACCAACATTAAAAAAACAAGATCTGTTAGGTCGGCTAGCTTTCCGCTGGCTCTGTAAAACTTCCGGATTTGATTGATTGTTGTTTAATGCTGCAGTCAGCGATATTCCAGCTATATGGCGGCGACCTTTAAACAATCGCACCTGGACCAGACAAACCAGTGATTGAGACCATGGGCATCGATCTTTGCTGTTGATGTTCTGTCAACATTCTGACACGTGTCAACCAATTCAGCGAGCCTGACCACTCGATCCCACTCGTACGTGAATTTATATATGAAGAGAATCGAGCATTCGCGTAAGAATACTTAGCGGTACACCAAGGTGAAGGTCGTTCATGACGTCGGCATATGGTTGTGACTAATACAGTGCAAACATAACTCATGCTTATAATAAGATCTTTTGGTCTAAAAAGAACAACAAAAAGGTTTGCTTGGTAGTGTTTCTATTTTCATTGCGGGTAGTCACCTCATCAATATCAGTTTCTGATACCTGACGGAATCGATTCGTAGACCTCTTTGTTGTGATCCATAGATTGAAATCCTTAGTTGGTACCTTTCTTGGACGATAGCCTGTCACCCGTGCCACATAATCCGTACCTTCAATTTGAACGAAGTTCTCCGTTTCATGTTTTCCAAAGTCAATTACTGCATTAACGACTCCAAAACCTCTGTCATCAAATCTTACTGAATCACCAATTTTGATAATGGGGGCAGCCATGTTTGTTTACAAACTCGTCCACGCAACGTAAACTCGCGACATCAATGAAATGTTAAACGTTTTAGGATTCGCATGACATGTATGGAGTTTTGAGAAAGTAGTTCGTGGATTCACTTAGTTTGCACAGTTATCAGATTTGGATACCAAGTTTATCAGCTTGCTTTACTGCACCGATAACACCCTCCATTAGATGATAAAATACCTAAAATACTATCCCGAATCTTCACGGGTCTGGGAGGTCTGGACTACAGTACAAGTATCCACACACACGTGCACATATATGCAATAATCTCATACGCAACGTTATCCCCATGTCACCTAGCATTTTAAATATGACATGATAATGTTAGCCTCCCAGAGCTCATTGAATAGGCTGTATTAATATTTTATAATCTTAAATTCATCAGGTTATGATAATATGTAGAAGTATCCACACACACGTACACATATACGCATAATCTCATACGCAACGTTAGCCCCATATGTCACCCAGCATTTAAAATAAGACATGATAATGCTAGCCTCCCAGAGCTCATTGAATAGGCTGTATTAATATTTTATAATCTTAAATTCATCAGGTTATGATAATATGTAGAAGTCGTGTTTTTCTCTCACCCCTTACCACAATTGAGTATGAAGGAGGTCTCGGACTTTAACCACTTTGGTAAATAAACTTATCAGTGCTACTATATCAATATATTGAGGCGGCACATGATATACGTCCCTATCTCATAAGTTGTGAGGTATACGTACTGATTATTTTTTTGTAAGAATGTAACAGCTCAGGTCCTTCGAGTGTTTAACACTTTAAAAATGCCAAGATATATTCTACAATTAAACTGTAAACCAGCTTTGATGAACAGCTAAAAATTTAAGGAGACGAAAGCTTTTAAGTAATTTCATTTTATAATCGTGGTTCTTAAGGATTCTTCAGTGTTTAGCAAACAGAGGAAAAAGTAATTCTAAGCAATTATATACAAGTACCGTCTCCTTGGCAATGCAGGGGGCGTTTGGTATCATAGTAATTCATTGTACCGTGAAGCATTTCGAGTCGGGTTATCTAATAAAAATGTTATTTATTATTTTTAAAAATCTTTAATCCTCGCAAGGACGCGGGGGCCTGTGGTTAAAGGTCCGTATTTGAGTCCTGACATGGGTACAGTTTGCCAAGCTCATTTCTGGTACCTCGGGAACCACAATGATGTTGCTGGAACATTGCTTAAGGCAGGGATACTCTACAACCTTATAGAGTCTCCCTGCTTAAGGCAATGGGGCTTAAGGCAATGGGGCGCAAGTGCGTCTCATGCGCCGGTTTGCTGCGCACTGTTCAAATACATTAAGGGGAATCCCCTTCAGGTTTCCGCGAAGCCGCAGGCAGGAAACATTGCACAACAGGGTGCCAACACGGAAGTACCATTCTCAATGGCAAATTATGCTTGTGGTCAAGCCCGTTGTCCTGAATGGCTTTATCCTGAATCGATATTCCAAAAAAGAGAAAAAAAGAAAATAAGTGGCGTGTTTGTTTATCTGCTGTGTGCAGTGTTATGGAGGGGTGTAGGGCAGGTGGTGGTTTATGCGTTCGCTCGTCACGTCCAAGACCCGGATTCGATTCCCAACATGGGTACAATGTGTGAGGCCGATATCTGGTGTCCCTTGCTGTAATATTGCAGGAATATTACTAAAAGCAGCGTAAAATCTAACTCTCTCTCTCTCTTTAGGGAGTAGTAGTTCATTGATGAGGGGCGGTAAGATTTGGTTAGCACTTACTCCTACCATAACGACCATCCCTATCCGGAAAAATGCCCAACGTCTACATAATTTTAATAATACAAGTATATCTTATAGCCTGATTGTTCGGTAAGAGGCGACTAACGTTATCGGGTGGTCAGGCTCGCTCACTTGATTTACACATTCCATCGTACCCCAATAGCGTAGATCGATGCTCTCGATGTTGATCACTGGATTGTCAAATCCAGACCCGATTAACAGACCACCGCCATATAGCTGGAATATTGCTGAGCTCGGCGTTAAACAGCAAACAGACAAAACCTTCTTATTGCAACACATCGCAGTCATTAATTCGTTGTACAGTTTCAAATACTGTACTGCATCTATTTCAAGTAACTAATATAAGTTCGGTTCGAACACCTTGAGCGAACACATATACCTTTTACGCACGCTGACACTAGTTGAACCGGATTCGATTTAGCCGAACACGTGGAGTTGTTGTTGAATCTATTTATAGCAACTGATTCAGTCCAGCCAATCAAATCGCTTGGCTAAATATAACTAATGACGAGTAGTATATATTTGCGCCACAGACAACTCGGGTGAAAAGATATCGTCGATCTGTCAAACAAGAAGGAACGTTTGTGTTGGAGGAAAGATATTCACAGAAACAAGGTATGCTGCATTTACAATTATACGTCTGTCAGATAATAATTATTATACTGTCATAAGCTCGCAGTTGCTGACGCGACACTTTAGATTGTGTTTACCTGGCAAAATGCTATATTTAGAACTTATTTACATCTATTCTCTATGGGCCGGCATATTAATCAGTAAGCATGGCTTGGAGTGGGGCAATGCGGGTTTATACTCTAATTCTGTAAATTACTCTAGGAAATAATCACATGTCTTTTGACATTAAATGTATATCGATCTACGTTTAATTGTTTTCGCATTATCTTGTTCAGTTTTTGAAGTTACCTTCTATATATTTGATGAAATAAAAAACCAACACTGTCCGGACTTGTCACCACGCGTGGGTCATGTCTTGACTGTATATAGGACCGGATCGCGGCTCTCGGCTAGTGGTGACATATGCATAAAATATTTGTCGTTACGGTAACTACGTTACACACCACCAAATGTTTTCCCATAGACTTCTATAGTAGCCTTATATTTTTTTAAAAATAATCCAGGCTATCAACAGCCATTCCATGTGCACATGGGTACACTCTGGCCTTTAAACTACCATAAAAACACACTATATGGCCAACTTGTCCGGCTTGTTTTGCGAGCACAGGAAGCGGAACACATCAACCCCAGATCCGCGCCAAATGTCACCTACTGGAAAATATCTGTACACACAATAAGCATAAGTCATGGTGATGAAAATCACAGCACTGAATACTTAAAATTGTGGTCAGTTTTAATTGCTGGTTGTATATGCTTTTAAAAAACATTAACATCTTACACTATTTCATCCAATCACAGCTGTCACATGTCTCTATCTCTTCATTTGTTTACATACGCTTCTTGCTCAGTGAGCAAGCGATTCTCATTTAGTGTAGTATAACCACTAGGCTCCAATCAACATGGCCTGCTTCCACTCCACGAAAAACTTCCGGGTTGTTGTGAAATCGACATGAATGTTTACGGTAGATACTATATATAGGATCTTGGCGCAAGATATAATATTATGTTAAATCTTCATGGAGTAAACAACGTTGATAAACGAACGAAGATATGTATGAATCATATACCTTTGCCGATCAATTTATGTTGCTGGTCGTGTTATGGACTACACTGGTGAAACTATTGAGCCCGGGTTCTACTATAGTACTGTGCTGTACTGTATAGTACTGTGTGTGTCAGTTGAAATCCATTTATGTTGTTGGTCGTGTTATGGGCTGTTGACTACAGTGGTGAAACTAATGAGCCCAAGGACAGTTGGGTCTAGTATAGTACTGTGTGTGTCAATTGAATAGAGAGGCATTCCGATATGGGCGTGACGCATACCATAGCGTTAATTTGTATATCCTTACTGTGTATTACACCCTGTTTAAGATGGCAGGGTGGAGAGTATCTTTGTGAACAGATTGCGGGTAGGATGACCTACATGGTCATATATACATTCATAAAACAGTAGGGAAACTGGGAGTTAACAGGAGGCATATAGGTGGAGATGGATAAGATGGGTAGTGGGTAGAGGGTAGGATGGATTGTCAGTGGAAGAGGCTAAGATGGATAGTTGGTGGAGTAGGCATAGATGGGTAGTTGATGGAGGTAGCTAAGATGGTTAGTTGGTGGAAGAGGCTTAGATGGGTAGTTGGCGGAGGAGGCTAAGGTGGGTAGCTGGCGGAGCAGGTTAAGGTGAATAGTTGGTGGATGAGGCTTAGGTGGATAGTTGGTGGTTGTGGCTAAGGTGGAGAGTTGGTAGATGAGGCTAAGGTGGATAGTTGGTGGAATAGGCTAAGATAGATAGTTAGTGGAATAGGCTAAGATGGGTAGTTTTTGGAGGAGGCTGAGATGGGTGGTTGGTTGTGGAGGCAAGGAGGAGGCTAAGATGGATAGGTGGTTGAAGAGGCTTAGATTGATAGTTGGTGGAGTAGCCATAGATGGGTAGTTGGTGGAGGTGGCTAAGATGGTTGGTTGGTGGAAGAGGCTAAGATAGATAGTTGGTGGAGGAGGCTAAGGTGGATAGTTTGTGGAAGAGGCTAAGATGGGTGGTTGGTGGAGGAGGCTATCAGGAGGATAGTTGGTGGAAGAGGCTAAGATGGATAGTTGGTGGAGGAGGCTAAGATGGATAGTTGGTGGAAGAGGCTTAGATGGGTAGTTGGTGGAGGAGGCTTAGATGGGTAGTTGGTTGGGGAGGGTAAGGTGGATAGTTGGTGGATGAGGCGAAGTTGGATAGTTTGTGGAGGTGGATAGTTGGTGGAATAGGCTAAGGTGGATAGTTTGTGGAAGAGGCTTAGATGGGTAGTTGGTGAAGAAGGCTAAGGTGGATAGTTGGTGAAGGAGGCTAAGGTGGATAGTTGGTGAAGGAGGCTAAGGTGGATAGTTGGTGCATGAGGCTAAGGTGGATAGTTTGTGGAGGTGGCTAAGGTGAATACTTGGTGGAAGAGGCTAAGGTGAATAGTTGGTGGATGAGGCTTAGGTGGATAGTTGTTGGAGGAGGCTAAGGTGGTTAGTTGGTGGAGGAGGCTAAGGTGGATACTTGGTGGAAGAGGGTTAGGTGGATAGTTGGTGGAGGAGGCTTAGATGGATAGTTGGTGGAGCAGGCTAAGGTGAATAGTTGGTGGATGAGGCTAAGGTGGCTAGTTGATGGAGGAGGCTTAGATGGGTAGTTGGTGGAGGAGGCTAAGGTGGGTAGTTGGTGAAGGAGGCTAAGGTGAATAGTTGGTGGATGAGGCTAAGGTGGATAGTTGGTGGAGGAGGCTTAGATGGGTAGTTGGTGGAAGAGGTTAAGATGGATAGTTGGTGGAAGAGGTTAAGATGGATAGTTGGTGGAAGTTTTCTCTTTTGTTTAGGATATTGGGTATTATTTGTTCTGGAATTTAAGGCAGAGACTGGGGTTAAGTAAGCCTTTGAAACAATATATATTAGTGTGTAATAAATATTCATCTGTAGAAATTTTATATTGCTTCATTAAATATTTACAGATGGATTTCGGCAGCAATTTTGTGTATCTTGGAGAAGATGAAGAAGAAGTAATCAACTCAAATTCATCTTCAGAGGAAGAGGAAACAGAAGGAGATGCGAAGGTGAGACATCTGGGACGGATTACAAATAAATACAGAATAAAAAACTACATTTGCATCAGTTAATGTACATATGTGATAGATCCTATCTAAATGACATATCAATTAATGCCCACAAATGATACTGTCACACTGAACAAATATGAGCTTTAGTTGATTGTTTCATAATATTAAGGCCGCCTTTTTTCCAATTTTTTAGATTTAGATTCAAAATCAACAGAAACAAACTGAATTTGGTTTTCTGTCAAAATGATAAGTACGCTTAAAAAAAGCATGTGAAAGTATCATGTTGGTCTGAGCTTTAATGATGCATTTTCGACTTGTATAAGATTTACAAAAATAACTATTTGACTTGTTTTTTCTGCCACAAAAGCGTTACAAATTTTGATTGGTTTAGGAATGTATGCTGGACATTCTGGACACAGCTGGACAGGAGGAGTATTCCGCAATGAGAAATGTTTACACACGGTCAGCTCAAGGCTTCATCATTGTGTATGACATCACAAACAGGGAGTCCTTCGATGAGGCAACGGCCATGTTTACGTTCCTGGAAACATGCAAGCAGGGAGAAAAGTTTTACGCTGTAAGTATATATATATTTTTAAATAAATAATAAATGTGTTTAACTACTGGGAGCCACGTTATAGTAATGTCATGATACTGCTGAAGTATTGGTAAAAGTGTAAAAATACTAAACACAGTATTACTTAGACACACTTTCACTTTGTAAACAGGGGCAAGTGGTCTATATTTTGTTTCTACTGATTGTTTACATTACACAGGTCCTTTGTGGCAACAAATCTGACCTGGATGCCCAGCGAGTTGTTTCCACAGCAGAAGGTACCGACCTGGCCAGCCAGAAGCATATACCCTTCAGGGAGACGTCAGCCAAAACAGGGGACAACGTCAAGGAAGCTATTGATGATCTTCTCAGGACAATCCCTCGCCACGGAATTGAATATAAGGTACAGCATGGCTATTTATGTACAAAAGAGAAGTCTTATCTGATCTGATCATGTCACTGAAAATCCTTAGTAATTGGGTGAAACAGATACCTCGTGATAAAATAAGGATTAACATAAAGATGATAACTTTTATCCCTTTTCTGGAAATGTCAAAGTTTAAAGTTTTTGAAAGCTGAAAAAATAAAAATGATCTGACAACCATCCCTTATAATTTCAACTTATAATATGATCAGATACAATATATATAGCTTACACCATGAAAAGGAGCAGATGTTTTTAAGTGCACTAGAAGATCGAAACATTTGGAAATTTGTGACTGAAGATTATTTTTTAAATATATGTTTCAACTGTTTTATTCTACATTCGTTACAAAAATTCAGCTTTGATTAAAAACTTGCTCATGTTCAGAAATTAAGTTTTTGGCCTCAAATTTGATGTTGGTGATGAAAATATATTTCATTTTTCACATTAATACTGCAATTAAAGATAATCAGACGCTACAGGAGATTTTACTCACCTTTTTAGGATGGATGTTGTTACTGTGGGAATATATTCCTGATTGGTTGTGCTGGTATGACCGACATATTCCATAGCATGGCAAAAGTTATTGGATATAAAACTTAAAAGTAGTTGTTATAGTAGAAAGGAATATCTCAAGAAGATAGTGTTCAACATTTAGTAACGATTTATGTGAAGAATAATGGTTGCAGTTAGACGTTACAAGAAGCGAGGTATGCCAATTTGAGAGAGGCAGTCATAAAATCTTCGTTTCAACTGAAAAGAAACTTTTTGGTATCGCTTATCGTTTGACTCTTCCATACAAAACCAAAACCATTCAGAAACAATATCATTCTGATATATGATGCCCATATTGTCATTATGGGACTTAAGCATACAGTGAAGGTAAAATGTGAGTCCATATGTAACTGGTTATTTTTTGTATATATTCCAAATTTGAGCCATGCTTGACTGCTGTTTTCTGATTGGCTGACAACAGAATGATAAGGGCTTATATAATATTATTGCAAGAAACGATGTAAAATATTTTGTACTGTTGCTCGCTTTGTCCTTGGTTGAACCTGTGAAGATCCAGGTTAGAATTCATCTTCAGTAACCCATGCGTGTCGTAGAAGGTGACTGACGGGATCGGATGGTCAGGCTTGCTGGCTTGACGCATGTCATCATATCCCAACTGCGTAGGTTGATGCTCATGCTGTTGATCACCGGACTGTCAGGCCCAGACTCGATTATTTACAGATCGCCGCTATAGAGCTGAAATATTGCTGAGTGCAGTGTAAATCTAAACTCACTCACTTGCTCAATTGTTTTTTGGTTGAGGTTGGAGATGAGAAGTGCATAAGCTTATACAGGTGGTGTAAGAGGGTAAGTCCCTTCAATGTGATTCCACTTTAACATTGCAGCTGGCAACGCTTGGTTCGGGTGGGGCGGGCAAGTCGTCGGTCACCTTGCGTCTCGTGCAAGACACGTTTGTTGAGAACTATGACCCCACCATTGAAGATTCCTACAGGAAGATGATCAGTGTGACAGGCCTTCCTAAGATGGAGGCAAGAAAAAAGAAAAAGAGGTTTTCATCGTCTGCTCAATCCCAGGCATTTGGTGGACTACAACAGAGTGCTGCCTCATTTGGTGGTACGCTAATTACCTCCCTTGTTTCTGAACGTATAATGCTTGTGTTGACAGGCTTTGAATGAAAACTGAGAATGAGACGTTTCTGAACGTATAATACTTGTGTTGACGAATAAAGTTTGGATAACAATATCATTGGAATTGTCAAAATGGCAGCATGATGGCTATATCAGTCACATTGAAAGGAAGCTCATACCATCAAAACAGTATATTGTTAAAATTACTCGTTTCTCATTCAATGCCTGTCATTGTTGTAGTCCATGTTGTAAATTGTTAAATAATATTTTTACAGCCTGTGCTATAAATTGTAAAAAATAATATTATATATATATTAATGTGTGCTAAAATATGTATATTTAAAACTGACTGTGACTGAGTGTTGACTGACTGACTGACTGACTGACTGACTGACTGACTGACTGACTCACTCACTCACTCACTCACTCACTCACTCACTCACTCACTCACTCACTCACTCACTCACTCACTCACTCACTCACTCACAGGGATAAACATAGAGGTCCATCTGAACTTATTTCCCCTCAGCCAAGAAGAAAGGCGGTGTCATGTCTAGTCTGAAGAGAGTGTTCAGTGGAAGAAGGCAGGCCCAGGCAACGCCCAATGCAGCTTCACGTCCACCTCCACCGCCACCTCCAGCGCCATCGAGTAGGACACCCATGAAGACAAAGAAGATTGATGGTAACATCGTGCACATCCCCCTTGGTTCACTGGCAGATGACCCACAGCTTGTGACGGGGGATCCAGTTCGGTGCAGCAAGTGTGATGCTGTTTTGTGTCAGACGTCAGTCCTCGTAGACGATGGAGATACACGTCTGTGGACATGGTCAGTATGGAGCAGCTTCTTCATTGACACATTTTTCAACAGTTGTCAACATTAATAAGGGACCATTCATAAGTTATGGGGGTGAAGATGATTATTATGGAGAAGCATGTGCAATGTGAATCTCCCCCCAGATTTATGTACAAAGTAAGTGACACCCCCAACCCCTACCCCCAACCCCAGCCATAACTTATGAACAGTCCCTAACAGAGCAATATGTGATGTTATTCTACTTGTTAATGAAGCACTGGGAGTATTGGTTTGAGAGTTAATAGATTATTATCAGTAAGGTTATTTTCCCCAGTCTGGTTGTTTTTAAGGGTCTGATTTACATTGAATATTTTTTCTGACGGAATAATATGCCATGTTTCTACAACATAATTTTCATTTAGAATTACATTAGATATGAGATCACATGGTATTGTGTTCTACCTTTCAGTGAGTACTGCGGTAAAGAGAACAAAAAACTAGAAGTTACAGCAGAGGAGATACCGAAAGAGTTGATGTTTGACTACATGTTGAGTCCAGCAACTGAGAAAGAAGAGGAGGAGAAGGAGGGCAAGGAGGAGGTTGTCCAGAAGGTCACGCCAGGAATTATTGTGTACTGCATGGATATCAGCGGCTCAATGGACTCCAAAGCAGATGTCCCAGAACTACAAGGTGAGAGTTTCATCAGGCCTTGTCCATCAGAGATTGCAGCTGGTGTTAGATCAGGCCTTGTCCATCAGAGCTTGCAGATGGAGATACAGAAGGCCTTGTCCATCAGAGCTTGCAGATGGAGGTACAGAAGGCCTTGTCCATCAGATTGCAGATGGAGATACATCAGGCCTTGTCCATCAGAGCTTGCAGATGGAGATACAGAAGGCCTTGTCCATCAGAGCTTGCAGATGGAGGTACAGAAGGCCTTGTCCATCAGAGCTTGCAGATGGAGATACAGAAGGCCTTGTCCATCAGAGCTTGCAGATGGAGGTACAGAAGGCTGTGTCCATCAGAGCTTGCAGATGGAGATACATCAGGCCTTGTCCATCAGAGCTTGCAGATGGAGATACATCAGGCCTTGTCCATCAGAGCTTGCAGATGGAGATACATATGGAGACACATCAAACCTTGTCGATCAGAGCTTGCTGATGGTGTTAGATGAGGGATTGTCCATCAGAGCTTGCAGATGGAATTACATCAGACCTTGTCCATTAGAGCTCTCTACATATTTTCCTCTGTACGTGTGTTCCTCTGTGCATGTGTTGCTCTCTACGTATGTTTATCTGTATGCATTTGTCTGTATATGTATGTACCCTTTTGGAACTGAGCAGTTACGATTGAAGATTTATATTTGTCTAAATAACTGTTTCTGGGTCTCTTTAATAGCGGCATGGAAGCAGGCTCGAAGTGGAGAGGAGCTGGAGGCAAAATCTCGGCTGGAGTGCATCAAGGAGGCCGTGATGAGGTACATTTCATGACAGTGAAACAGTAATTTCGGATTTTTGTATAGATATGGTATTTCATCATGGAAAACATAATAACTGGCAGATATTATTTATTTTGTGTCAGATAACATGTGATCTGTTTAAGTTAATGTCTTGCTATCTGTGAGTGAAAATGTCAACTTGAGGCAAATTGATTTTGAACCGAACACAAAACTTAAGACCTTATGCATTGAAAACACAAAGTAAATACTGAAACATTATTAAAACATATGTTCGCGTTAACTGAAACTTGGAAAAGATGTGTTTTGTGCTGTAGGGATTAGACGTCATACAATGACATCGTTGCCTTTGACTATCTCCCGACTAAATATTCAAAACAGCTTAATTATATTTTGTGGCCATTTTGCCAGACATTAAACAGAAATATATGCATTTTTTCAGTTTACAAGTATAAGCATTTGAAATAAAGTGACAAACATAATTTTGAAATTTTATTTCTTATCTGTTACAGACAAGTAGAGCTGTTGAAACAAGAGCAGCCTGAAAAGCAGGTCATGTTGGTCCCCTTTGACTCGGGAAATTGAGATTGTAGGCGATGGGACTGGAGGCAGCAAGACGGTCACTGGAGTTGACAGGGTTAACTTTGATGCCCTCATCAAGGAGGGACAAAAGCAAGCAAAGAAAAAGGAGATCAAACCTCTGCGACTTTCTCACGAGTGAGTGTTGGTCTAACCATTTTAGTACATGTAAGTTCTATGGATAGTCAACTTCTTTACTGCAATGAGTTTCGGTGTAAGTACACCGTTATAAAGCAAGTGATGGCTTAGATCCTACACCAAAAAGTCACACTCATTGCAATAAAGAAGATGACTATCCATAGAACTTGGTTTTCCTTCAGTCCAATGATTGTCTCCATGCGATACAATGACATAGCATGTAATATCTGTTTTCCAAGTGTTACGTTAATGGATTGTTTGATGGAGAATATGTTAAATTCAAAATGAATTGTGGATAATTTCTTGCATGATGAGATTGATGATAGAAAAGTATAAGGCTTAATTTAAGATGAAATTCATAAATTTTCTAGCAATTTGATGGAGAAGGTGGCAGATCTTCACACACGAGGATGCACAGCTCTCGGTCCAGCGCTAGCAATATGTGCTGGGTTTGTGAGTGATGTGCCTTCGTCAGAGATTGTGCTATGTACTGATGGAGCGCCAAACTCTGGAATTGGTTCCTCGACTGGCAATACCCGTGACTCATTCTATACAAAGGTAAGCTGTGAATCAGCTTTAATAATTACTGGTAGTAGACCACATTTTCCATCTCTTTAACCTCAGATTGTTTAGTGTTTGTGAAGAGTGAGTGAGTGGGTTTAGTTTTGTGCCACTTATAGCAATATTCCATGGATATCAAGACGGGGGACATCAGAAATGGGCTTCGTACATTGTACCCATGTCGGGAATTGAACCCGGATGTTCAGCGTGATGAGTGAACGCTTTAACCACTAGGCTACCCCACTGCCCCTGTTTGTGAAGATCTCATCACAACAGATCACCTCATCAGGTGAACTTTATCAGCGTTCTTGGTATGCAAAACAGATTTCAGACAAGAAGATCTGATTTCTGTATCTGGAAACTCTTAAAACTGAATATAATCAAGGAAATCCAAATTTGAAAATGTATTGCTAAGTTACTCTCTCTTGCTCTGGACAGACATGTTGAGGTATATTTGTGTTCCATGAGGTCTCTTTTGGCACTGAACTACATTCTGTGACTGATTCTAGTTACCAGTGGATCATAGAACTTTGGTTTCTGAAGTCTTTGATCAATTGGTGGAACGGAAGTTCATTCTTGAGCACGATCAAAATTTGTTTGTTAACAGGTGTACTGTATTTTCAATAATGAGCAAAGTAGTGGTATTAATTCTTCATTGATTCATTTTTCATTTCTTGAATACTTTGAAAAGTAATGTAACACTATAAAAAAAATATCCACACTCCTAATTCGGTATGTTCCTGTTTCACAATTCAGACTAAAAGTGAGGCAAGCGTGAACATAAACATAACAAGTCAGTTTAGCTCCTGCATGCTGTAGTTTCTCTTTTATACATTTTCTTTGTAATTCCAGATCGGCGGATATGCTCGTTCAAAGAACATTGTCATCAACATCATGGCAGTGGAGGGAGAGGCTGTTGGGATGCAGTATGTTAGTCCATGTGCACTGGCTTCAGGCGGCACCATCAACGTTCTCAACCCCATGGAGATTGTCAGGCAGCTGCGAGTTATCTGGCAGAACAAGGTCGTGGCTTCATCAGTTCATGTCACTTTCCTGCTGCATCCATCGCTTGTGTTTGTTGAAGAAGGATATCCAAAGGTAAGGGGGACCTGTCATGTTCTGGAGAGTGTGTTTAATCATTTGAGGACACTGTAGTTCCGTGGTATGTTCCTCTGCAAGTATGTTTCTCTGTCCGTGTGTTCCTCTGCAAGCATGTTTCTCTGTCAGTGTGTTCCTCTGCAAGAATGTTTCTCTGTCAGTGTGTTCCTCTGCAAGTATGTTCCTCTGAGCATATGTTCTCCTGTACATGTGTTCTTCTGCGAGTATGTTCCTTGGTACATATGGTCTTCAGCAAGTATGTTTCTCTGTCAGTGTGTTCCTCTGCAAGTATGTTCCTTTGAGCATATGTTCTTCTGTACATGTGTTCTTCTGCGAGTATGTTCCTTGGTACATATGGTCTTCAGCAAGTATGTTCCTCTCTACTTGAGTTCCTCTCTCTGTGTCCATGTGTCTCTCTACATGTGTTCTGTACATGTGTTCTCTGTACATGTTTCTTCTGTAATGTGTTCCTCTATACACGTATTCTCTGTACCTGTGTTCATCCATATTTGTTCTTCTGTAATGTGTTCCTCTTATACATGTGTTCTCTGTACCTTTGTTCATCCATATATTCCTCTGTACAGACGTTGGTCTGTACCTGTGTTCATCCATGCATGTGTTCCTTTGGTAATCCATGTTCTTTGTATATGTCTCTTTTCATCCATATGTACATGTGTTCTCTGTACATTTAATTCAGAACGGGGACTCCAAAGCAGAAACCTTCCCTACTCTCCCACGCTGTTTTGACAAAAGACGAACACATCGTATTCATACTTTCAAAGACCAAGTCTTTGACTCTCCCCTTTAAAAAAATTACTATTCCCAAAATTATAGTTCAAAGTTATCATTACACCCTCATCCCTCCCCTTTATCACACCCCTTAATACTAAAAAGCAAAAAAAGAATCCCCAAGTTCAACATTTTTTCCTCAGGATTTTCTAGTAGTGAGTTCATACATTTTCAGTGCTCTGATGTCCACCCGTCAAGATCTGGGTTAGAATTGGTCTTCAGCAACCCATGCTTGCTATAAGAGGCGACTAACATGATCGGGTGGTCAGACTCGCTGACTTGGTTGACACATGTATTGCGTGCATCAATGCTTATGCTGTTGTTAATCATTGGATTGTTTGGTCCAGACTAGATTTTTTACAGACCGCCATATAGCTAGAATATTGCGGCGTTAAACAACAAACCAACAACCACGATGTCCAAGGATCTCAAAAGGCACACTTTCACACATTTGTTACAATATTTTGGCCTATATTGTACATAATGGGACATATGCACTCACTTTAGCTACCTACTGATGCAATAAAAGACTTATTAACTTCGAGGCGAACAGCTTCCAAACAGAGAACTGCTTAAGGGGTCTTCTTTGACAAGGACCTCTTGACCTTCACCTTCAAAGTAGAACACTGCAGATCCTACTACTATCTTGGACCTAATGAACTGAAATTAATATCTCTTTTCTCTGGTTTAGGTTCAGATCACCTACACCCGCAAGAACGGTATGAAGTGTCTCCGTGTCATGTGCAAGAGCCACAAGTTCACCAAGGACAGGAAGGTGATGGAAGAGGTAAGGAAATCCTTTCATGAAGAACATGCGTAATCTATGGAGGAAATAGCATATAATATCAGAACAAGAGAAGTAGTTGGTTAGTTTAGTTTCTCAGTGAAGTTTCCCTCCAAAACTATTTGAGGTGGAAAACTGATAAATGTCTCAAATGAGTTAAAACTGGCATCCCAAGTTATTTTATCTGTTTTCCTTAGTGTCCCTTTGCTCTGTTTTCTCCTTAGTGTAAAATGTGAGAACAGGGATACGCTTTCATTACTATTTGAATTTGAGAACCCAACATACTGTCACTCCAGCCCAACCCAACCCAATTCAATCCAAACCCAACCAAACCCAACCCAACCCAACTTAATCCAGCCCAGCCCAACCCAACCCAACCCAATTCAATCCAGCCCAACCCAACCCAACCCAACTTAATCCAGCCCAACCCAATCCAACTTAATCCAACTCAATCCAGCCCAACCCAACCCAACCCAACCCAACCCAATCCAACCCAACCCAATTCAATCCAGCCAGCCTAACCCAACCCAACCCAACCCAGCCCAACCCAACCCAGCCCAACCCAACCAACTTCAATCCAGCCTCCAACCCAACCCAACCCAACTTAATCCAGCCATAGTCGAATCAGGTAATTAGAACACAAACAGATTGGTATGTCAGCTAGAGAGGCCCGAGGCATGCGACATGGCTTTAATGTTGTCTGTGTTTGAATACGCCTTCCTCTTGTCATACCTGGTCACATGCTTCCAGTCACTTGGTGCACGTATGTTTAAAAAGTATTTTGCTATAGAAGGATGATCACATCTTTCATGTTTGTGTTAAGCCAGAACATCAACGTGGCAGTTGTTGGATTAGCCACGATGCAGAAGACAGCTGAGATGACAAAGAACAGAGCTCCCCTAGAAGCCAGGGCACAGTTGTAAGTAACTACATTCAGTGAGTGAGTTAGTTTTACGCCGCACTCAGCTATATTCCAGCTATATGGCGGCAGTCTGTAAATAACTGAGTCTGGACCAGACAATCCAGTGATCAACAGCATGAGCATTGATCTACGCAATTGAGTGAGTGAGTGAGTATGGTTTTACGCCGCTTTCAGCAATATTCCAGCATTATCACGGCGAGGGACACCAGAAATAGGCTTCACACATTGTACCTATGTGGGGAATCGAACCCGGTCTTTGGCGTGACGAAAGCGGGCGCTTTAACCAACAGGCTACCCAACAGCCCTGATCTGCGCAATTGGGATATGATGACACGTGGTCAACCAAGCCAGTAAGCCTGACCACCCGATCCCATTAGTCCCTTCTTACAACAAGCATGGGTTACTGAAGATCAGTTCTTACCCGGTCTAAGTAGTTACAAAATATAACAACATAAAACTGTTGTGTGGTAGGTAGACATTGTGTTTTGATGGTTTCAGTAAGATGTGTGTAGTCACCTACAAGAGATTCTCTCTTCCCTCGCCACACCTCCGTAATTCCACACTCTTATGGAACCAAATTATTTTTTCACTACCCCTGCCCACCCTCCTGTGCAACAAATATCACTGGTACCTTTATTGAGGGTGCTTCACTTTTCTATCCACAATGTACAGGGTCTATATTTTTATGGAGGACAACTTCTTTGTTGCAATAGTTGCGACGTGAATCACGGTGTAGATGCCAGATTCAGACACGTGACTTGTTTGATTACTTTATGTTCGCATCTACATCAAACATCTACACCTGATTTGTGACCAGGGCCCCGCTCCTCAAAGCCATCTTAGCTTATGACTGTCGTGAAGTCTATGTTAAAAGCATGGGAGTTACTTTATCATCTTAGCGCCACGATCGCTTTGAGGAACGTGGGCCCTGAGCTCTATGCACTGGACCACAATCAGCCACATAGAATATGTTGTAAGACTAGATTTCTGCAGTTGAATTGACAGTCCCTCGCCTCCTTTATATCCTATTTTAACAACATTACATAAGAACTGTATTTTCTGGTAGATATATTGATATTAGAGGCTAGATGGTACTGTGAGCTGAATGCTGTAATGTTTGTGAAATACTATTCAAAGCAGGAATCAATCCAACTCTCACAACTCACTGTTCTGTAAATTTGATCCAGATTGGCAAACCAAGAATATGCTGAAAGAGGTGCAAAAGACTGTAGAGCAACGTGGAAGAGAGCATATGCATTCCTGAACTAATGCTTAAGAATTTGAAGATGACATTTCCTGCAATCAGGCTGAGTGGGTAAGTAATCGCTAAATGAATGATAATTTGGGGACAAGATTCTATTAATGCCTGGTCATCCAACTGGGCAGACATGGCGAAGGTGAAGGTCACCAGACTGAAACAGGGTTGTTATTTAAAAAAGGTTGGTATTTAGGCTGGTTGGTTTGTTGTTGAACACCACACTCAGCAATATCCAGCTATATGGTGGCGGTCTGTAAATAATTGAGTCTGGACCAAACAATCTGGTGATCAACAGCATGAGCATCGATCTACACAATTGGGATACAATGACATGTGTCAACCAAGTCAACGGGTTAGTCACCTTTTATGACAAGCAGGGCTGGTGATGACCAATTCTGCCTGGATCTGGGATTTAGGATAATGGTGAAATCGGATTGAAATACTTGACATAAAACATACGATCATGTTTTTGTTACTTCACTGACTTTTCCAATGATTGGAGGCTTCAGTTAATCAAGGAACTACAGCGCTGAAGTGCTGAAATGCTGGAATATTTTCTCCTGGGCAGGAATATTCAATATGGAGTCACTTTATTCTAATCCCTTTGTTTGGATTTATTCAAATGGTGTCAGTTGTTTCTGTATGAATAAAAATTACAATGACGCCATAGAAAACAACTAATATCATGAATGAAAAGGACACCAATTTCATAGCACAATATTTTAGACAGCCAATCTTCAAAAATATTGAATCGGAGAATTTGAAAAACATTGAGGCTCGCTGACTTGGTTGACACATGTCATCGGTTCCCAATTGCGCAGGTCGATGCTCATGCTGTTGATCTCTGGATTGTCTGGTCCAGACTCGATAATTTACAGACCACTGCCATATAGGTGGAATATTGCTGAGTGCGGCGTTAAACTAAACTCACTCACTCTGTCACTGCGGTCAAAGATATGGAAACTCATTACTTGTGTATTTTTCCAGCAATTTGGTGAAGCAACAGATAGTTCCCACAGAATTGCTCACCAGTCACACCAGGCCAATGTGCACCGGTTCCACGGAGCAAAGAAGAAAGTGGCAGCCGTCCAGAAGCCAAGTCAGCAATATTAAAGCTTATGAAGGGTATCGGAATTATAAGTGCTAAAGTTCATCATATGCAGTCAGATGTCCACATGTATAGAGAAACAAAACCGATAAGCTATCAATAATTTTGTAGAACTTGTAAGACTTCGATATTCACTCATAAAGTAAGCCAAAGCCATGTGTCAAAATGTCCCTCTATGTTTTTACAGATAGAGACGTTTTAATAATAGTAATAATGAGTGATTTTGTAGCGCGCCAAACTCCACGCCAGCTGGTATGCTCATGGCGCTACAAGTAAAGTTATTTGGGTGAGACATAGTACTTCTTAAATAGAAACGTTTTGAGGAGAGTTTTGAAGGAGAGCAGGCTTTTGGCTGTTTTGAGATCTTTGGGCAGAGAATCGTTTTAGTATGTATCTAGGCACTGCGCACAGAATTTGGGACTGGGATCTGAGAGTTCTGGCTGGATTATACTGGCTTACAAGTTCACACAAATAGGATGGTGCAATACCATCCTATTTGTTCAAGAGGTTTCTTTCATTGTCCAGTTTGTTCATGCCCAAAACATTTTCAACTGTCAGTACCTAGTTTTATTGGGGAGGTGTTTTTTTCTGGTCCTAATAGTGCACAGTTTTGAAAATGAATATTTCGAATATTTGAAAATGATTTATTTGGATGGGACTACTAAAGAACATATTTTTTACTGGAGACACATACAACACTTGCACTGTAGTACTCCATGCTTGTACTATAGTTGACTTCTGAGCTGGTGAGTTTTGCGGCTTAATGCTGTTTTAGTCATTCATTTAAATCTCATCACTTTGGTGAAACCCATGGTAAGGTATGGTGCTGGAAAACCTAAGGACATAATCTGTAGTAATTGGGATTCGAACCCACTATCATAGAATCCTGGTGTGCTCAAGGGAAGCAACTCCGCACAACCAATCGCAGGCCTTACATGATTGAGCTAGATGTGCCCCTTCTTACAATGTGTTCTTAGTAGTCCAGTCAAATTAGTGGAAAAAATCACTGAACCTCCAAAATATTGGTACAGAAATGGTTTTGTTTTTATATCGTTTACAATCGTCATGTAAACAATGTATAAAAAGTCCTCCCTTGGATGTTGATGCTAAATGGCTTTTTGGGGGCAAAAACTATGAAAAATGGTATTTTTCATTTATTTATTTTTAAATCTGAAAATAAGTCCAGAAAATGCTATTACATCTTGCAAAATATAAAACTGAAGCGTACAAAATAGTAAATGATTGAAATCAAACCTGAACAAAATTTATGACATGAGGTTTGAACTGTGATTTTGGACACTCCAGCACACTGGAAACAAGTAAATGAGAGTTATCTCCCATTTGTTTACAATAGATTGAAGTAGCAAAATGGAAAGGAAAGGTTGTATCTTTTATAAAACACTAACTTGATGAGGCTATAGTTAGCAAAATAGATAAAGGATTAAAAAGACAGCTAAAAGCTACAATTAACAAAGATGAGGACGAGGACTGGGGTGATTCTGCTCCCTTAATTAGCCCACAGAACTATATGGCGGTCGTGTAAGACAATGCACCTTGGTGATAAATGGGACATTCTGTATCAAGATTTAGAAGAGCCTGAAGAAACATATGCCAGAATGATAGATTAGGAAAATATGATACCATTTATATTTTCAATGCTACTAGTTTTAAAACAATTTCAAAAGGTGATTGAAGGATAAGTTTGTTCTCTTTTAACTTTAACTGGCAACTACATATTATTATGTGAGCAGAGTGAGTGAGTATGTTTTTACGCCGCTTTTAGCAATATTCCAGCAATATCACGGCCGGGGACAATATAAATGGGCTTCACACATTGTACACATGTCAGGAATCGAACCCGCGTTTTCGGCATGACGAGCGAACGCTAACCACTAAGCTACCCCACCGCCCCCTTATGTAATAAGAATTGAATGAACCCTTGCAAATATTTATAGTATAGCTGGTATTTTTTTTATCTGAATTAAAATCATTTAAAAAACTGACTGAAATCTTTATGAAAAAACTTGAAACTGATTCACATAAATTAGATATATAACACATATGTTTACTGAAAAACATCTTTTTCTTAAAATTGGAAAAATCATTAACTTAGGCTCTTTGTAGTGAGTGAGTTTATTTTTACGCCGCACTCAGCAATATTCCAGCTATGGCGGCGGTCTGTAAATTATAAAAGTCTGGACCAGACAATCCAGTGATCAACGGCATGAGCATCGATCTACGCCAATGGGATACGATGACACGTGTCAACCAAGTCAACGAGCCTGACCACCCGATCCCATTAGTCGCCCTTTTATGACAAGCATGAGTTACTGAAGATCAATTCAAACTGGATCTTCACGGGTGCTGGGCGGCTTGATCAAAGCTCTAGAAAGGTTTTGAAAGCACAACCAGCATTGTCTTTTTTACTGCTAGTAAAACCTTTAAAATAATATTGGTAAATAACTGAAATAACTAATGGACAAATACTTTTTGTATTTGAAATACTTAAATAGTACGTGGTGCATGCTTGTTTATCAGCCATCTTTAAATTTTGCTCAGGAAACGGAAAGATCTCTGACTGACACAGGGATGACAATAAATCCCATGGTATTACATGTCGTTGGGGGTAACTGTCATGAAATCATGTAAAATTCGATGTACCGGTAAGTGAAAAAGTATTGCAACCACATCTCAAATATTCAATATGTTAATTAATATCTTGTTCATTATTACAGTTAGTTACAGAAGAAGGAGCTAAGTGCAACGCTTCCGAAAATGGGTGTACACGGGGTCAGTTCATTCAGTTTGCAACAGATAATGTAGATCAATCTGAGAACATGGATTAACGCATAATGACGTTTTTGCCAATTCGGTGACTGTTTGCCAAGAATGCGGAGGTGTTGATGCGCTAAAAGGGATGGGCTAATATGTCCTGGGTTCATATATTACGGAGATGCTGAATCAAATTGCACTATGTCTAACAATTCATGTAGAATATAAAATGAATCACTAGATTGTATCATTCTCAGTATTGAGTTATGTCACCCTCGTGCCTGAATCCCAGAGTCAAAGCTGTATTTGCTCAACTTACGTGTTTGTGAGCGGTCAAGACAAAGACGTACAATGTCGGTACACATTTCAACAAGCCACATATATTAGGTTACCACAGTCAAGTAATCTACACAGATTCATATTCACGTGGAAGTCAGCTGGTTGTATTCGACAGATAATATCTCACATAGGACACTGTAATGTATTTACTGCGAGAATTTGTCACCCATATGTTGACATGGAAGTTCCATCATGCATGATCTGGTCCCCTGAACTTCAATCGGTTCCATGAGGTTACAGCAGAAAAAGATTGGTAGTACCTTGTGTACTCTTTGAAAAAATATATATAAAAAGGTAAATTTGTGTTTCAATATGAGATTTTAAAAATTGTTTACTGAAGATTTCAATTTTCAAACTTTTTACCCCCCAAATAGGACTTAACATCATATTTCAAGGGAGGACTTTTTAAAACTCATTAGTTTTAACTTAAACATGTTAAAAACACTCAAATCATTTCTGTACCAATTATTTGGAGGTTTTGTCACATTTTGACTGGACTATAGGGTCTTGTGTTGCCTACACGGGTTGTTTACAGATTGCTTTGATACATTGTGAATAGAACCTTAATGCTGGAACAATCTTATCTTAGCAGAAATAACAAACGGAGAGGTGTATCGATGCCAGTACACCTACAGTACAGAATCTTATCAGAAATAACATGGAGAGGTGTATCGGCCAGTACACCTACAGTACAGAATCTTATCAGAAATAACATGGAGAGGTGTATCGGCCAGTACACCTACAGTACAGAATCTTATCAGAAATAACATGGAGAGGTGTATCGGCCAGTACACCTACAGTACAGAATCTTATCAGAAATAACACGGAGAGGTGTATCGGCCAGTACACCTACAGTACAGAATCTTATCAGAAATAACACGGAGAGGTGTATCGGCTAGTACACCTACAGTACAGAATCTTATCAGAAATAACATGGAGAGGTGTATCGGCCAGTACACCTACAGTACAGAATCTTATCAGAAATAACATGGAGAGGTGTATCGGCCAGTACACCTACAGTACAGAATCTTAGCAGAAATAACACGGAGAGGTGTATCGGCCAGTACACCTACAGTACAGAATCTTATCAGAAATAACACGGAGAGGTGTATCGGCCAGTACACCTACAGTACAGAATCTTATCAGAAATAACATGGAGAGGTGTATCGGCTAGTACACCTACAGTACAGAATCTTATCAGAAATAACATGGAGAGGTGTATCGGCCAGTACACCTACAGTACAGAATCTTATCAGAAATAACACGGAGAGGTGTATCTGCTAACACGGAGTACACCTACCTACAGTACAGAATCTTAAATAACAGAAATAACATGGAGAGGTGTATCGGCTAGTACACCTACAGTACAGAATCTTATCAGAAATAACACGGAGAGGTGTATCGGCTAGTACACCTACAGTACAGAATCTTATCAGAAATAACATGGAGAGGTGTATCGGCCAGTACACCTACAGTACAGAATCTTAGCAGAAATAACACGGAGAGGTGTATCGACTCAGTACACCTACAGTACAGAATCTTATCAGAAATAACACGGAGAGGTGTATCGGCCAGTACACCTTATCGGCTAGTACACCTACAGTACAGAATCTTATCAGAAATAACACGGAGAGGTGTATCGGCTAGTACACCTACAGTACAGAATCTTAGCAGAAATAACACGGAGATTTGTATCTGCTAGTACACCTACAGTACAGAATCTTATCAGAAATAACACGGAGAGGTGTATCGGGCAGTACACCTACAGTACAGGATCTTATCAGAAATAACACGGAGAGGTGTATCAGTATACAGAAATAACACGGAGAGGTGTATCGACCAGATACAATGGAACATCGTGGAACACTGTGTCCTAGAATCTTCTCATGTTTCCGAAACAGAGTACAATGTGTCCAGCGTTAGTCTACTGTGCACAGTGTGTCCAACCTGTCGATCACCAATGGA